TTGCAATAATAATTTGCAAGTAAACAAATTTATTAATTTGGAAGTTCATTCTTAATATTTGCAGTAGTAATACTTTGCACAAAAATGAAGTGGTTTATTAGTTTGGAGGTGTGCATTCTTAATATTTGCAACAGTATTTGTATGTAAATAAAATGATTTATTAATTTGGAGGTGTTCTTTATTAACATTTTATTGAAAGGTGTCATGTAAGCAAACGAGGAGTTTGTAGCCCTGGCGGGGAGGTGATGTCACAATGAAAGCCTTGGATACAGAAAATAGATACATCGGAGAATGTAACAAAATGAATGCCACGTGAGACCAATTGAGATCTATCAAAGCCCCTGCCGCAACGTCGCAACAAGGCGATGGTGGTATAGTGGTGAGCATAGCTGCCTTCCAAGCAGTTGACCCGGGTTCGATTCCCGGCCATCGCATCTCATTTTCGTCTGCTGTAATTTTGTCCCACCAATACTCCCTTAAACTTTTTACAGTCGCCTCCTATATTTGCATTATTTAATCACGAACGGATTGCAATTTTAAAATGTCGCCGTAATGTTTACGAGATCTTTTTTTTAAGGTGTGGGTCTGGCCGGACTGGGCCAGTTTCGGAGTCTGCCCAGTAGAAGGCGCACTGCCTAGTCCTTAAGCTTCCGAGTTTGTGAAGGGCACATGGTCACTCTTTCAATAATTTGCAATTTCTTTCGTGAACCCAGGCGTGGTTAAAGCTTTACAATCGTGGATTTGCAAACGTCTCGGCGTATTTTAAACATTGCTGGAACTGATTTTGAAATAATGACTGCGTTATTAAATAATTGATCTGTGCAAACTTTTTTTCTAAACTCCCCAAGGTTCAAGCCACACGTTGGTCCTGAGTTTGCAGTATTTCACCCTGAGAAAGTGATTTGCATTATTTAGATTTCTTCTTAGGAATTGAGGGGGGAGGCTAATAGTTTTAACAGCGTGAGGCAGCTGGATAGAGTAAATGGGGGAGAAACTGTTCCCAGAGGGTTGAGATTTAAAGCAATTTGCAAAAGAAACAAAATGTGCAAAAGAAATGTGTTTTAAGAGAAAAGACTTGTTGACAATGTGCAGGGACCTGGGTTAAGGTTGGAAAATAAATCTTGATACATTTGAGGACCATATGGCAATTAAGTGAACTAGAGGAAATTCATGTTTGATAACGATCAAGGATTGCACATATGTCAAGCAGTAATCGGATGCCAGTTTCAATCAACTGAGCAATTTCAGTTCCTCAGATTAAACCATTTCGTTGTTAACTAGTGAGATGGGAGTTTCTTACCAACTCACATTAAAACTGACATAAACAATATTGTTGAGGAAATATGAATACAGAGTTACACAGCATGGAAACAGACCCTTGGTTCCAACCAGTCAATGCCAACCATAATCCCAAACTAAACTAATCCCACCTGCCTGTTTATATCCCTCCAAACCTTCGCTATTCATGTACTTATCCAAATGTCTTTTAAACGCTGTAACCATACCTGCATCCACCTCTTCCTCAGGAAGTTCATTCCACACACAAACCACGTTCTGTGTAAACAAATTGGCCCCTCATTTCTTTTATAAATCTTTCTCCTGTCACCTTAAAAAAGTCTCCTCTAGTCTTGAAATCCACCATCCTAGGGAAAAGAGAACTACCATTAACTCTATCTATAGTCCTCATTATTTTATAAACTTCTATAAGGTCACCTCTCAACCTCCTATGCTCCAGTGAAAGAAGTCCCAAGCTGTCTTTCTTTATAACTAAATACCTTCCATACTCGTCAACATTCTGGTAAATCTTTTCTGAACTCTCTCCAGTTTAATAACATCCTTCCCATAACAGGGCAACCAGGCCTAATGTTATGGGGATTAATCATATAATGTAATGATATAGTGGTAAGTAAATTAATGAGTGTTAAGCAGGGTATGCTATAATATAGTGGAATAATGAGGATTAAATATAGTCTGTGTAACGTAGTTATGGAAAGGCTGTTGATGTTGGGAAGTTGGTTGTACATGGTATATCAAGGCATATGGGCCATATCATTAATATGTTAGGACATGGGTTAAGGGAGAAGAATAGGAATAGGTCATTCAACTCCTCAAGCCTGTTCCACCGTTCAATGAGACCATGGCTGATATGAAGCCTAATTCCATAGACCTGCCTTAGACCCACATCCTTCGATACCTTAGCTTAACAAAAATGTATCTATCCCAGGTTTAAAACTAACAACTGATCTATGGGTTGAGGCTTTTGTAGAGAGTTTTGAGTATAGGAGTTGGGATGTCATGTTACAGCTGTACAAGACATTGGTAAGGATGCATTTGGAGTACTGCGTATAATTCTGGTCGCCCTGCTACAGGAAAGATGTTATTAAACCAGAAAGGGTGCAGAAAAGATTTACAAGGATGTTACAGAGACTGGGGGGATTTTGAGTTATAAGGAGGCTGGGACATTTTTCCCCTGGAGCGTAGGAAGTTGAGGAGTGACCTCATAGAGGTTTATAAAAATCATGAGGGGTATAGATGAGGTGAATAGCCAAAGATCATTTTCCCCAGGGTAGGGGAATCCAAAACTAGAGGGGCATAGGTTTAAGGTGAGAAGGGAAAAGACTTAAAATGGACCTGAGGGGCAACTTTTTCACGCAGAGGGTGGTGTGTGCATGCAACAAGCTGCTAGAGGAAGTGGCAGAAGCGGTTACAATTACAACATCTAAAATACATTTGGACAGGTACATGGATAGCAAAGGTTTAGAAGAATATGGATCAAACACAGGCAAATGGGAGTAGTTCAGTTTAGGAAGTCTGGTTGGCATGGACAAGTTGGGCCAAAGGGTCTTTTCCCATGACTGGGTCTCCCAGCAGAGATATTTGTATCATCTATAACCACGGGTGACATGCCAGAGGACTGGAGGGTGGCTAATGTGGTACCTTTATTTAAGAGAGGCGGTAAGGAGAAGCCTGGAAACTGTAGACCTGCAAGTCTGACATCAGTGGTGGGTAAGTTGTTTGAGAGGATTCGCAAAGATAGGATTTATATGCATTTGGAGAGGCAAGGACTGCATAGCCAGCATGGCTTTGTGTGCGGGAAATTCTGTCTCATGAACTTGATTGAGTGTTTTGAGAGCGTAACCAAAAAGCTTGATGAGGGCAGAGCAGTAGACATTGTCTACATGGACTTCAGTAAAGCCTTTGACAAGGTTCCACAAAGTGGATAAATTAATAAAGTTAGATCACAAGGGTGAGCTTGCCAATTGGATTCAAAATTGGCTTGATGTTAAGAGATAGAGGGTGGTGGTGGAGGGTTGTTTTTTGGATTGGAGGCCTGTGACCATTGTAGTTCCACTGGGTCCATTGTAGTTTGTCATTTATATAAACAATTTGTATGAGAATTTAGGAAGCAGGCATAGTAAGTTTACGGACAACACAAAAATTGGTGGTATAGTGGACAGTGAAGAATGTTAAGTAAGGGATCTTGATCAATTGGGCCAATGGGCTGAGGAGTGGCAGATGGAATTTAATTTGGATAAATGCAAGGTATTGCATTTTGGTAAAAAAAAAACAAAAGCAGGACTTATACAATTAAAACAAGGGCTTTGGGTAGTGTTGCAGAACAGGGAGACCTATGGGTTCAGGTACATAGTTCTTTGAAAGTTGTGTCACAGGTAGACAGGGTGGTTAAGAAGGCATTTAGCACACTTGACGTCATTGCTCAGACCTTTGATTATAGGAGTTGGGACGTCATGTTGAGGTTGTACAGGACATTGGTGAGGCCACTTTTGGAATACTGTGTACAGATGTGGTCACCCTGTTATAGGAAGGATGTTAAATTGGAGAAGGTTCAGAAAAAGATTTACCAGGATGTTGCCAGGAATGGGGGGTTTGCGTTATAAGGAGAAACTGGGACATTTTTTCCCTGGAGTGTAGGAGGTTGAGGGGTGACTTTGTAGAGATTTATAAAATCATGAGGGGCATAGATAAGGTGAATAGCAAAGAGCCTTTTCCCTAGGGTGGGGGAAGTTCAAAACTAGGGGGCATATTTTTAAGGCGAGAGGAGAAAGATTTAAAAGGAACCTGGGGAGCAACTTTTTCACAGAGAAGGTGGTTCATGTGTGGAATGAACTGCCAGAGGATTTGGTAGATGCAGGTACAATTATAACTTTCAAAAGTCTTTTGGACAGATACCTGAATAGATAAAAATTAGAGGGATAAGGGCCAAACGCAGGCAAGTGGGACTACTTCAGTTTAGGATATCTGGTCAGCACAGATGAATTGGGCTGAAGGGTCTGTTTCCATGCTGTATGACTCTTTAATGTACAACCCCAGCCCTTGCTCCTTGCCCCCACCATCCACTGTAAATTTTCTCCTTCCGATTCCCACCTTTTGAAAGTTCGTGTTGAATCTGCTCCCTTTCAGGTAGGGTGTCCCCTATCACAGGGTCAAGAAAGCAGGATCTCCTCTGGCTCTTTTTAATTCAATCTCTTTGATTTTCAACCTCTGGGCCACACTCTGGGCACAAACAGAAAACCTCCTCTCCCCTCAAATCTTTTCACTTGAAATCCCTTCCCCACAACTCCGAGTCACTGATACCTCACATGCTCTGTCCAGGGCTCCTCGAAATTGTGCACTCCACCATCAAATCTCCCCTGGTCTCCTATAACCTGAGGAGATCTGCCCTCTCCAATCCTCCATTATAACTGCATTTACACCTGGCAACATCCTGGTAAATCTCTTCTGTCTGGTGCAGTGGCATTACTTCTGTAATGAAACTGCCTACAGTGCTAAAGATTGGGACATTTTCAGTATAACCTCCCTGCTATTTTCTTTCCATTTAGTGACCCGCAGGACCCACGCTCAAGGCACTAACCTGTTATCACCCCTAAACACTTTCTAATGAAAGTTGATCAACTCTCCTTTTTCTCCAGAGGCTGCGTGTCCAACAGTCATGTCAGCCCTCCAGCTTTTGCGAAATGACAAAGAGGATACCAAAGCAATTTTAGTTTCAGGTTTTTTTTTTATTAAAAATGAACAAAGAACCCCCATCTCCCCACGTGTAGGACAGAAGTATGCACAGTGCGACAGAAGTGTCGCACTAATGGGGGTCACAATGGTTTAACAATCAAGAAATTACCCTCCAGCTTCTGGCAACGGATGAGACCATGTGGTTTGTTGCTCCCCAACCCTCCCACTGTTTGGGAAGGCCCTGTTTTATTTTTAAACAAATGATCATTTGGTGGAACATATCCAGGGGAGTACTGATACAACGTAACGTGATGTGCTGGCCAGGCTTTTTGTCTTGAACTCATCAAGACAGATGCAAGAATGCCAAAGGGAACAACAATTTATATTGAATGTAAAAGAGTGAGCCCCCTGTTTCTCAAGCAGTATGAACTGTGTTCCCTTTGAAACCTAGTATTCTTGCTATTCTGTCCTGATGAGAAGAATATCAAATTTCCAAAGAAGCATTAGTGCAGCATAAATTATTGTTCCCTCTGAGATCTAACATTCTTGCAATGCTGTCCTGATGAGCCGCAAGATTCCAAATTTCAAAGGGAGAGTTAACACAATATAAATTGTTGTCCCCTTTGAGATTCTTGCACTGGTTCTGATGGTGAAGGCTGCAACTATTTAAGCAATATTCAACGTCCTCGTTTTCCAAAGAAAAGGGCCCCTCAGATTTGAAATTGAAAGGAAAAAACGCAACAGTAAGGCCAGGAGAAATGCAGACTAAAAGGCAGCTGAACGACGAAGAGAAACTTGATCCCCAGACTGAATGAGTGATATTTCCAGTCCTCTGAATTCAGGACAGGAGTGTGCTAGGAGGCCGAAGAAGTGGGGTTATAGAGCAGGAACAGAAAGTGCGCCACAGAATAAGAGGTCAACCTTTCTGCTGAGATTCACCTTTCTCTGCAAAGCACCACAAATGGCAAACAGTGAAGGAAAATACACAATTGTTAGCGTGTTAGAGAGCGGGAAACAGAACTCTGGGTTAATAGTTCAGGAAAAGACCCCCAGTTGCTTTTGAACCGTATCAGCAGAGGGAAACCAAAGAACTCCATGCCAAAGCCTAATGGAAGGCAGAGTGGAAAAAAAAAGTTAAGTTGCAAGCTACTGTATATTTATAACCAAATGTAAGAAGGCTTGAGAGGGCGACTTAGTGACAAAATTGGGAGACACCGGCCTAAGGGGCCACAGCTCCACCGATGGTGGGAGGCTGTAATTATAACATGACATGGTCATTCCCTGTTGAGATTTAGAATCCTGGTTCTATGAATCCAAGAGAAGATAGACTGGAGGATTAATCACCCTCAAGATTGGGTACAAGCAGGTTATAGAAAGGGTCAAGGCTTGGACGATCAAGCTGGTCAGGCTCACAAGCTGGGAAAGAAATTTAAATTACGATCTGTATCATAAATTAATGAACACGCCTAAAGGCTGGGTGGTTGGTGGGTTGATATCGTCGTGGCCCCAGTGAACAAGAGGGAAACGATGCTCTTCCGATTGCTGTGCCTGAAGCTCAGTTCTTTTTCGTCTTGGCCGTGTCGTATTTTCTCTTGCTCGAGTACCACAGCAACAGGGGAATCCCGATGGAAGGCAGGGTCATGACCCCAAAGGCCGCCCAGTCCAACTGTAGGAACAACACGGGTGTCACTTTAATCTCAGAATCGGGCACCAAAACCCAGGCAAAAAGCGTTGATTGTATTACTGCCCGATACTTTAATGTTTATTGTCATTTGTTCAAAATAATGGAATCCCTGCAGATTCGGCCCATCCAGTTCGCACTGATCCTCCCCCTACCCTATCCCTGTAACCCTGCATTTTCCACAGCTAACCCACCCTAACCTGCACATCCCTGGGCACTACGGGACAATTTAGCACGGCCAATCCACCCTAAACTGCACATCCCTGGACACTACAGACAATTTAGCACGGCCAATCCACCCTAACCTATGGACTCTGGAAGGAAACTGGAGCACCCGGAGGAAGCCCATGCAGACACGGGGAGAACGTGCAAACTCCACGCAGTCACCCGAGGGTGGGATCGAACCTGGGACCCTGGCATTGTGAGGCAGTGATGCTAACCTCTGAGCCACCTGCTTTACTCTTCAAGTCCCTGAGAGAACTTACCCCTACTTTGAAAACATCAAGAGCCTAGCAAGACCGAAACACAATTCAGTGACCTGATCTGCGATCAGAACATGAAGTCGGTGGTCTGGACTCCGGTTTTAACATTTCCCACCTTTCAAAGGGTAAATCTCCCAAGTTCTGCAATTTTAAATGTTGTTTCTGCCCCCCAAGAAAGAAACAGCAGGAATAGTGTGAAGGAGGAACGAGAGGGCCAGACACTGGTGGGGGGAAACTGCCCCAATCGCTGATAAATCCCCAACGGCCTCAAGTTCCATCTGGTCAGAGCAAGGCATTTGACAGGGTGTCTGCAGGATGGCCTCACCTCTGACAGTGCAACACCCTCTCAGTGGGCAGCCTGAGATTACAGGCAGCAGTGGGGCCCTCTAATCTACAACCTTTCGAATCAGAGTTGGAGTGTGTGCATGAGTGACAGAGAGAGAGAAAAATGAGTGAGATGCCGGTGAGGTGTGTGCATTGCACGGGAGAGTGCAGCAGGGAAAGAGAAAGGAGAGCAGAGAAAAAGAGACAAGAGAATGAGAGTGACGGGGGAGGAGAAGAGGCGGACAGGAGACAAGAGAGAGAGAGAGACAGAGAGAGGGAGGAGAGACACACAGGAGAGAGAGACAGACAGAGAGGAGACAGAGAGATAGACAGAGAGAGGGGGGGAGAGAGGTGAGATAGAGAACGAAAGAGAGAGGAGAGAGAGACAGAGAGAGAGGAGAGAGAGTGAGAGAGAGGAGAGAGAGTGAAAAGAGAAACAAAGAGGAGAGACTGAGGGGAGAGGAGAGAGAGACAGAGGAGAGAGAGAGAAAAAGAAAGAGAGAGAGGGAGAGTGGGGTAGGGGAGCAGAGATAGAGTGAGAAAGAGAGAGACAGAGGAGAGGTGGGGGGAGGGGGGGAAGAGAGAGAGAGAGACGGGGAGAGAGAAACAGACAGAGAGGACAGACAGACAGACAGAGGGGAGAGACAGGTGGGACAGAGATAGAGAGGAGAGAGACAGACAGAGAGAGGAAAGAGAAACAGACAGAGAGGAGACAGGAGAGAGACAGAGACGAGAGAGACAGAGGAGGGAGAGAGAGAGAGAGAGACGGGGTTCCAGGGCAGGTGCTGTGTGGGGGGTGCGAGGGGGAGAGACTGAGAAGAAGAGAGACGGGAGTAGAGGAAGACAAAGAGAAGAATGAGTGTGATGGGGGAAAGAAGGGGACGAGAGAGAACCCACACCCCCATAAAACAAGGGTTGAGCACGTCCGAGAGAAAGAGGGGGGTGACGACAAAGGCCGATACTCACGTAATGGGGGGAGAAACGCCGATCGAATTCTCTCTGAGCCAGGATGCCACCCTGTCCCGGCGCACTCGTGTAACCCACCTTGAAAAATTAAAAACACACAAAACCTGGTCAGCAGTGGCCCCTCTACAGGAACATGCTGCGAGTGGTGCTAAAGTTTCCGGAACGTGGCTAGGACATCCACCACAGGGATGAAACTAACAGAGAAGATTCTGCCCTTTCGATCTGCCAACATTCTGCTCCCCTCCCCGAAACATGTCCCATCATCGACAAGGTACAAGACAGGAGTGGGATGGAATACCCCCCACTTGCCCTGGATTGGGGCAGCTCCGACAACACTCGAGAAGCTTGACACCATCCAGGACAAAGCAGCCCCCGCTTGATTGGCACCACATCCACTGCCCCGCTACCGACGCTCAGTCACAGCAGTGTGTACCGCCTACAGCGGCTCGCCAAGTCAGCACCTTCCGAACCCATGACCATCCCAGATACATGGGAACACCAGCTCCTGAAAGTTCCTCTTCAGTCCATTCACCATCCCGACTTGGAAATACATTGGATGTTCCTGCAGGGTTAAAATCCTGGATCTCCCTCCATAAAGGCACTGTCCCTACCTTACACCAGGGGACTGCAGCAATTCAAGAAGGCAGCTCCCCCCCATCTTCTCAAGGGCAAACTAGAGACAAGCAATAGGCAGTGGTCTCACTGACGAAGGCCACTTCCAAGGAAGATTTTAAACAGAAGCCTTTGGCTAACGGGGTTTAAACACACAAACAGACGTAGGTTTTAAACTTGAAAAGGTGCAGAAAAGATTTACAAGGATGTTGCCGGGGTTGGAAGGCTTGAGCTATAGGGACAGGCTGAATGGGCTGGGGCTATTTTCCCTGGAGCTTCGGAGGTTGAGGGGTGACCTTATAGAGATTTATAAAATCACGAGGAGCATGGATACTTTGAGTAGTCAAAGTCTTTTACCCCAGGGTAGGGGAGTCCAAAACTAGAGGGCATAGGTTTAAGGTGAGAAGGGGGAAAGGACAAAGAACAAAGAAAATTACAGCACAGAAACAGGCCCTTTGGCCCTCCAAGCCTGCATCGATCCAGATCCTCTATCTAAACCTGTCGCCTAACAGATTTAAAAGGGACCTGAGGGGCAACTTTTTCATGCAGAGGGTGGTGTGTTTATGGAATGAGCTGCCAGAGGAAGTGGTGGAGGCTGGTATAATTACAACATTTAAAAGGCATCTGGACAGGTACATGAATAGGAGGGGTTTAAGAGGGATATGGGCCAAATGCTGGCAATAGGGGCTAGATTAACTTAGGATATCTGTCAGCATGGACAGGTTGGACCGAAGGGTCTGTTACCACGCTGTACATCTCTGTGACTCTATAATCAGGTGAGCCAGTTGTCTTCCAGAGAGGTACCTTGGCTTTATAATAGAATTATAATATAATTTTTATCACAGAATTTCTGTTGTCTCCAGAAGGTTTAATTATTCTTCCTTGAGGAATAAGACAGTGAATGCTGGGGATTGCTGTTGAACAGAGACCTACGGTTCAGGTACATACTTCCTTGAAAGTGGCATTACAGGCAGACAGATTACAAATATGTTTAGCATGCTTGCTTTAACTGCTCTGACCTTCGAGCGTAGGAGTTGGGGCATCATGTTGAGGTTGTACAGGACATTGGTGAGGCCACATTTGGAGTACTGCGTCCATTTCTGGTCGCCCTGCTATAGGAAGGATGTTATCAAATTGGAGACGATACAGAAGGGATGTTACTGAGGCTTGAGGATGTACTTGAGTTATAAGGAGCAGGAGGCTGAGGGGTGACCTTGTAGAGATTTATAAAATCACGAGGGGCACAGATAAGGCGAATAGCAAAGGTCTTTTCCCCAGGGTTAGGGGAATTCAAAGCTAGAGGGAATAGGTTTAAGGCGAGATGGTGAGGATTTACATAAGAATAAGAAATAGGAGCAGGAATAGGCCATCTGGCCCCTAAACCTGCTCCGCCATTCAATAAAATCATGGCTGACATTTATGTGGACTCAGCTCCACTTACCTGCCCGCACCATAACCCTTAATTCCTTTACGGTTCCAAAATCTATCTTTGCCTTAAAAACAGTCAATGAGGTAGCCTCAACTGCTTCAGTGAGCAGGGAATTCCACGGATTCCTAACCCTTTGGACCAAGAAGTTCCTCCTCAACTCAGTCCAAAACCTGCTCCCCTTTATGTTGAGGCCCCTCGTTCTAGTTTAAAAAGGAACCTGAGGGGGCAACTTTTTCACGCAGAGGGTGGTTCTTACATGGAATGAACGGCCAGCGGAAGCGGTAGATGCAGGTACAATTGCAACATTTAAAAGACATTTAGTGAGGTACATCTAGAAAGGTTTAGAGGGATATGGGCTAAACGTAGTTTAGTTTGGGAGATCTGGTTGTCATGGATGGAAGGGTCTGTTTTGGTGCTGTATGACTCTATGGTACAACTCTCTGACACAATCAATGCAGGGGAATGAAGACACCTTCCTGATATCAACTCATTTATCAAGCCCTCTTGAATGTCAACGTACTCCCTTCAGCAGGGAGAATTGCTGGCAACAGCACCGATCGAGAACACCCCTCACTCTCTCTCCAGAACCTCGCCTGTCCTTGCAAAGTGCGGAGCCTGGAGCTGGGGGCGCCGCTGACCGGCTGTGGTCTGCCTGGCAAACTGGGTCTCACGTGACCGTAACCAGGCATAAACTGCAACACTCACCACCACTTGCCCGCCTTCCTGGGCAAGGTAGGAGATGGTCGCAGAGGTGAAGTTGAAATACCCAGCTTTCAGAGGTCGGAGCACCACCGTGTGGGTAACGTTGCTGGCTCTGTGGCGGGTAGAAGGGGAGTCAGTTAAGGAGATACACACCAGAGACAGAGTGAGAGAGAGAGGGGTGGGGGCGAGAAGAGGGAGGGGGCAAGAAGGGCGAAGAGGGAGGGAGAGGGAGA